CCTGGCCTACCCTTACTTTTCCTCTCACTCTGACTCATCTTTTGTGAATGTCCACCCACTGACCGAGTGATTCTCGGCTGATTCACGCACTGACTAATCGTTCTGTGTCGTGTTTGGCAAACTCCTCTACGTAAGCCGTTTCTTTTGCCTCTTTAGCTACTCGATACGAAAACACCGGACAAGCAGACAACCCTTCTGCACTTCCTTGTGGAGACCGTGGAAGAGAAGTTTCCTGAGTTGGCGAACTTTTACGATGAGTTGGATGGTATTACTGCTGCCTCAAGGGGTGAGTTAATTGATGCGAAAGCAACATAGAGACGGCAATGACTTAAGGTTGTCAATGGTGGCATTTTGAGAATGTTGTTGTGGTGTGGCCAAATTTATGAGGTTGGTTCTCACGTTGCTGAACAGGACTGATAGGTGTGTAAGCTACTTGAAGTGTTATGCAATTTGTGCATCATTGTTAGTGGATTGACTTCATAATCATCATCGTGAGTGTGTCCAAGCTTCAACCTGTGTAGCTCAATACGATCTGTAACACGTAACGTGGTGGTGAGAAAGAGAGAGATCTTAGATCTTATTCATGTGGGGGTACTTTCGGTATTATTGAGTCAAATCTGTTCACATCGAAATGAAGAGGGTATGTTTGTTCAAATGTGATCTGCAGAAGTGAATGGTCGGGGTGAAATGTGGAGAAGAACATGAAGCTGTAGTAAGGCCTTGTAGGATAGACAGTTCAATGCAACTATGATAAAGTTGTTGATCAATTGTACTTTTTTACTGTTCGTAATCTCGATACGATGTTGTTGCAATCGGTATTATTATTGTTTGCAAGCTTGATGCAGAAATAAGATACGCAATGTGATTGTACCTAAAGTAGGGTCGTTATAATCGACTGTAAACAGTGCGTAACAACACTGAATAGCAGCTTTATCGATTAACTTAATGGGAATTTCGAAGTCCAATCGGAATATTTTAAATAGTGCGGTGTTTGTAAAAATAAGACAATGGTAATTTGAGCAGTTAATATACTTAAAAATGGGAGTACATATTGGAAGTACAGGATAGAAATAGACCAAATGACTAATTCAGTCAGCTACTAATGAATAAGCAACGATTTGTACGGAATCGTTGGATTTATTGTGGCAACCAGGGAGGTGAAGATGGAATTTTGATGATGTTGACAGAAGTGCTGCTTAATGAGTGTAGGATTGACTTAAAGCTTCGTTGACTTGGAGGAGTTGGAAGTTGAAACTGATTGATTTGGCTTTGAGGCCGGTTTGGCAGACTTTTTGCCTGACTTATTCGATTTATTTGTTAGCCCCATATATTTAGTTTGCCAGGTTTTGGGAATAAGTGGTAGTGGTGGAGCTGATGATTTGCTCGACTTAGTTGACTTTGACGTCTTCGCAAACTTGACTCGTGGTTTCTTATTTAAATTGGCTCGTTGTGCTAAAAGTTTATTTGGCGTTGCAAGTCCGATTGGTTTGATATTGAAGGCAGATGATATGGCTGGAGAAAGGCGTCTTATAGCCACAGGTGACAAAGCTTGTTTGGGTTCAGATGGTTGAGATTGTGGCTGGCATGGGCAGATTTGTTCCGTCCCGTCGTCAAGTTGATCACGAAGTGCGTTGGCAATTGTGAGAAGACATTGGTTGGCTTCCTCAATTGGAACGTCATCACAAATGGGCTGAGGGCATATCTGAGAGCATGGCTGTGGGCATGGCTGAGGGCATGGCGAGGGGCATGGTGGTGGACATGGCATCGGTTGTGGAGAAGGACATTGCTGAGTGCAGTTTTCCAAAGCACAGAACAATTCAGGGTTCAATTTCTCAGAAAGAAGCCTGAGGCATTGTTTCACACTGGTGCATCCTGTTGGTTCATCGGGATCAGGAAGATCGGGGGTTTCTGGTTCTGTTTCGCAATCGCCGTTATCATCTGGATCTGTTTCAAAACATGGGGCTAGTTCGGGGTAGACGACCATTAACAAGTTGATCAAGGACGCTCTGAGTACGTTGTAGGTCTCAATCGTTAAGCCTGGTATAGTGAGTTTTTGTAGAGAAGAATCGGTTGGAACGCCTGGGCATTGAATTTCCTCAGCACATGCCTCCAAGCGCATAGCTAAATCAGGAAACAAATATTTAACTAATTTTAGGATATATTCTCGAAAATCGGAGCCTGAGTTAGGCTCTTCGGGATCGGTGTCAGGTTCTGAGGGTTCTTCAGGTTCTGAGGGTTCCTCAGGGTCTGAAGTTTCTCCATCACCTGTTTCAAGGTATTTTTCGAGAATGGAATTAAAGTTTTGTGCCAATTTGAGTAAGTATGATTTTATTTCACTTTCAACATTATCCGAACAGTCCGGTTGAGTGGGCTGCTCTGGACAGGGTTTATTTTGATCATCGGGGGATGGAGTTTTGTCAGCACATGTCTTCACGCACTCGGCTAACTCTGGACTCAATTTTTGCAACAACATTTTGATGCAATTGAGATAATCAGAGGAGGAGTTTCCGTCTGGATTAGGATCGGGTTTTGAGGGATTCTCTGGTTCTGTCGTTCCCTCACCACCGCCTGGCTTTTTACTATCTACCAGAATGGAATTGAAATTTTTAACCAACTCGAGAATGGAAGTTTTAATTTCACAGTCGATATTTGAAGAGCACTCAGGTTGAGTGGGTTTATCTGGACATGGTTTAGTCTGACTGTCCGGTGATGAATTTTTGTCACCACTTGCTCCCATGGACTCTGCTAACTCAGGGCACAACTTTTGTGCTAACTTGATGATGCAATCACGATAATCGGAGCAAGAAGCGGTATCGTCTGGATCAGTTTCACATTCTGTGGGATCCTCAGGGTCTGTGGACTCCTCATCACATGGCTTTTGGCGGTCTAAGAGAATGGAATTGAAGTTTTGAACCAATTCTAGTATGGACGTTTTGATTTCACAGTCGATATTTGCCGGGCAATCTGGTTCTGTGGGTTTTTCTGGACATGGCTTGGCTTGATCATTTTGGCATGAAGTATTTTTAGCACCTGTCCTCTTAACGACAGCTGCTTCAGAGCGGAACTTTTGTGCTAGCTTTTTTGAGCAATTGTGACATTCGTTGCTTGAGGTAGTATCTTCGGGATCAAGATCGCATTCTGAGGGATCTTCAGGGTCTGTGGACTCCTCATCGCATGGGTTTTGGCCACCTAGGAGCATGGAGTTGAAGTTTTGAACCAATTCGAGTATGGACATTTTGATTTCACAATCGATATTTTCCGAGCACTCTGGTTGTGTGGGTTTATCTGGACATGACTTGGTTTGATCACCGGGTGATGGATTTTTGTCCTCACCTGTTCCCATGCATGCTGATAATTCAGGACACAACTTTAGGAGAATCTTTTTGATGAAATTGCTGTAATCGGGGCAAGAAGTAGTACTGTCGGGATTAGGATCAGGGTTATTTTGTCCCCCTGGGCATGGAGTCTCCTCTTCACTGGATCCAATGCATTTTTCTAAAATAGTATTAAAGTTCTGTGCTAACTTGAGTATGGACATTCTCATTTCACATTCGATACTTGCCGAGCAGTCAGGTTGTGTGGGTTGATCTGGACCAGGTTTGCCTTGATCGTTGGAACATGAATTTTTATCAGCACACGTCTTCATGCACTCTGCTAACTCGGGATTAAACTTTTGTGCTATCTTCATGATGCAGTCGCCATAGTCGGTGCAGGAATTAGTTTCGTCGGGTTCAGAATCAGATTCTGTTGGATTACATTGGCACTGAGTGTCTTCAGTACATGTCTCTAGGTCGTCTACGAAAATGGAAATTAAGTTTTCTGCCAAGTCGAGCAAACACCCTTTTACATTGGTGTTCGACTCTACTGGACTTGTTTGCTTTGTGCGCATCTTCTTTCGTCGCCTTTGAACGCCTAGATAAAATCGCTGTATTCTCACATTCTCCTTCCTTATATACTAACTTTGATAGTACTCTTAATTGGTTTCTATCTATCACTTGATTCTTATCATCACACATTTCGCTGGAATTGGCATCATCTGTGTTTGGCTCATTCTACTCATGTTCTTTATAAACTTCATGAGAGCAATATCATACGACCTCCTACATGGTAGATTTTAAATATGAAACTCAACAATATGTGGCTAGTAGTTTAATACTATTCTTCACTTTTCAATATTTTAGTAAATTTGCAAATCTGTTCTACCTAGGAGACTATTGTCCAGTAGAGGCTGTGCTTGAACTGAGGCTGGACCAAAATGCCAAATTACTTAAATAGTAGTAATAAGGGCTTAATTTAGTAAGTAAAACAGTGGAAAAAATAAATTTTAATTTAGTCCCTCAGAAAGTGTCATCTGAAGATAAAGGAGAAACGTTAATGACCCTCAAATGGTGAGCAGTTGAGTGGTTTAATAAATTTGCATGCCAAATCTCTCAGAAGGTGTTCTCCTCTTAATGGTGACCTAAGGTGGAGAATCAGTAGATTGTAGTGATGAAAAATGGAATAGCTCTGGAATGTGATAGTCCTAATGTGCTTGTTAAATTATGGGCTACTTGAAATGGTTTTGCTGAGACTAGTTTATTGTCATTCATGGAGTCTTAATTTTTCTCAATACACAGGGTCTTTACATGCTTCAAAAAAGTTAGTATTTCATCTTTTCGTCTCCCCGCAAATTATTCTTGCCACCATCTATCTCCTCCTCAAACATGCAAACAGAGTCGTTTTATATGCTCAATTAAAAATCGAGCCGTTTCACTTTATCACCTTCTTCTAATTAAATTAGTATAATTTTAATGCATTTGCGGCGGAACACCTGTTTTTTATCACTTCATTAGCTGCACGACTTATCACATAACTGTGCCATGACTAATGGCCTAAATTCTATTGATTACCTCACTGCAGCATTCAATCCGTTGTCACATCTATCGCAAATATGCGGATTGAGTTAATAGTGCTTATCATATTCCCTTTCGTATCAGGCCGCTTTGAATATGAGGAGATTTGGAATTCTTCTTTCATTGAGGCAGTTCCTTGTGAAGCCAATCCAATTAATGGTGCTTGGTGTGAATGGGGTGAATGGGGACTTTGTGATTTCTCAACTTGCACTCGGAAAAGGGTGCGTACTTGCGCTTGTCCCAAACCCGAAAATTTGACAGGAGGTCTCTGCCCTACCGAACTTCCACAAGATGATATCCTCGTTGGAGATGTAATTTTTGACTTTTGCAACGCTTATTTAGGCAGACTCTTACAACGCACTCTCGATTTGCTAGAATGACTGAAAAAGGCAATTGCAAGATTCCCTTCTTTCATAATAATCGATACTATAATGATTGTTCTATAATGTAAGTGCACAGGCTGAAATTTTAACTAATTCGAGCCATTTAGTGATGGAAAGGAACAATGTCCAGTTGGACCCGAGTCCAAGTTGGAAATTTGCTTGGAGGAAAAAGGTGATATGGAAGAAAGAGATATTGGGGCTTGTGATGGCTGGAAAATCGCTCAAGGCTGGGCTCAAGTAAGTACTTTTACGAATCATAAAATAATCGATTTACTTAATTTTTTCAAATGATTCGGACTGAACTCCGATTTAAACCATATTGAAATGTTGCTATCTGATCGTTTCGATGTTTCTGACCTGTGGATACCTGGAAGAGAAAGATGCCATGTCATGTAAATGTAGTGTTCTTTAAGAAATTAGGCCACTAATTGAGGCCCTGAGAAGGATAAGTATACATCTGAGAGCCACTAATCAGATGAGAGCTGAGGTCGTATGTGAATATACCTTATTCTTTAATGCAAGAAAAGTTATGGTGCCAAGATTTCAGATTGATTGGTTCCTAAAAAGCTATATCATGAGTCCTATATTTAAGGCGGTATAAAATGTCACAATGAAAGGTATAACTGTTTACGAGATATCATTTCAACTATCAGGTAAGAATACATAAAATTGAACTTTGTCCTTTATTTGAAAACTAGTGATACTCCTTGTATAGATTAAAATTGTGATAGAGATAAATGACCTAGTTGGAAAAATATTCCAAAAAGTGAGGATCTTGCAGTCCTAGTATTGCTTTGGAACTTCACTGAACGATAATTTAGTGTAACAGACATGAAGCCCGCGAATTTTGTTCAGAAATGCAGGGGAAAAAACTATTCGTTTTCCCACCAAATTTCATACAATCTAATTCTCAAGTACTGCGGTCCCTTTATTGGACAAGCAAGACCGGCCATTTCGCTCATTGATTGAGACCCAATAGTCGAAGCAATGACTCTACACCACCAACACACTCGGCGATTGTAGTACTTTTTATTCCTATCATAAAATCACTGCACATAGTTAGAAATTACCTAAGAATACTTAAATTATGCCCCATTAAGCAGCCTTGAATTATGTTATCTTTTTCATCAGACCAAAGTACCGGAAAAGTATATATTAGAGATACGATCCATATCTGAGCTGGGAAAACAGTGTCACAATAAAAAGCTCTATACAATTGGTGCCGGTTTGCTTAGTCCCTGTATTGAAAGGTACTACTTCTCCAAATCTGGTCAGCGAAATACCTACTCGAAGTAAGAAACGCTACTTATATAATATCAGTAGTTGATCAACTTATTTGCTGACTTCCACTACTCTCTGCAGTTTAAATAATATGGCCTTCAATTTGGAAAACTGCAAGTTTGCATGTGCTATTGACCCAGAGTGTCAGGCCGTTGAATTCGCCGAGGGTTATTTCTGCAAACTCTTCATGAAATTCAATAGTGATGATCTGAAACGTGAAATTGGTACGCTTTTGCTTGCAAAACCGTCTAATTGCATATTCTACCTCAACAAGAAACAGGAAGCCAAATATCCTTTTCGGATGGCAGTCAAGGATATACATTCGCTTTATAATAAAGTTTAATTGACTGTTCTTTGACAGCATGCTTCACTTCACAGTTTACCAAAATGTTTTAAATTTTTAACTTATAATGTAAAATTTTCTAAGTGCTATTCCAATCAGAAGAACAGAACTTGAGCTTTGAATTCGTTATTTAAGATGAAAGAGAACAAAATTGGGATTTTCTACTGCCTATAATGCTTTTAGTTTGAGGAACCCTTAAATTGATGATCTTACAATTTTGGTTATTTATTTAGGTCTTTCAAAGTAGAGTAGAGAAGTTAAAAAAGACTTATTTTGAAAGAATATTTTTTCACACCTAATTGCCGATATTTCATATGTAAGGAGACAAAGCCTAATCTAGCCACGGAAATGGTTTGCATTAGTCAAAGTTACTTAACGTTTTAATAGTTAGTCTACGTTAAATCATTCGTTTGTTTCACAATAGTACACTTTTTGATCTATGCCTTGCGCCTTTGAATAAGCTGTCATTGTTACCTATTCTAATGGACAAAAATCTAAAAATTTTAATCGTAGGGCAACCTTCGAGTAAAGCTAGGTGGAAAATAGAGTTTAATATATGGGGGGGGGGGGGTGTGAGAATGGATTAAAGAATTGGGTTATACATTTTCCTTGCTTAGACCAAACCACTATAACAGGTCAAATATTTTTAAGGTGCGTGGCTTGGCTGCCTAGCATCTGAGTGACTTTGTTAATGCTATTCAAAGCCTTTTGACCAGTTGATAAGCTTTCATTTGTTAGTCCTGTTAGTTGAATCCATTAGGCGGTTGTGATCTACTAAAAGCAGTACAAATTTGTCTTTTTTTATGACATAGTGGGTCTTAGTCAGTCGTAGCTATGGCGACAGCAAATTTACTTTTATTAAAACTACTCTTTTGAACTCCTAGAAAGAGAGAAAAAATGGAGATGCAAGAATAGGTTGAGACAGAATTAGAAACAGACTTAAGAGAGAGAGAGAGAGAGAGAGAGAGAGAGTGGAAAGGAGGTAAGGATAAGCTCTTTAAAATGAAAGCAATGATATGTATTGTGCGGTGTGCGCGATAAATTTACCTCCACGTGGTGTTCCATGGACAACGTACACTCATACTGCAAAAAGGTCTATAAACCGGCAGTTGACTTCAAGCTACCATGACCCAACTGTATATCATTTTCGACCACTTCCACAGTACACACCACACCTTACCTCTTTCTCTACTTTTGTGTCTGTCCGCCTCTTTTACATCTGTGAACCACTCTTCTGTTCCTCCTGTCCACTTTTTGTGACTTTGCCTGTTCCTCCCCTCTGTGAAGCCCGAAGTCAACCAAAGGACCAATTACAACAAACATAAAACCTGACATTTGATATAAATAAATATACATTGCGTAGTAAGTAGCTTGGGAAGAATAGGAGCGTAGTAGATAAAAGGTTACAATATTATGGGATATCGGTGACTTTGAGTAAAGAACAAAGGTGGGATTGGGGGTGGGTGGTGAGCATGGGAGCCATTGGCAGCACATTAGTAACTGTGGTGTCATGGAGGAAGTATTAGTTTAATATGAGAAAATATTATATCAAGTCTTCGCTTTTGTATGCTTTTCGTATTTTTTTGCAATGACTTATCTTCCTCTGTAATCTCTATGGCAAAATACCCTAGTATCGATTGACTCCTGAAATCAGATAGCATGCTTATTTGGGCTGTGTTTAGCTGACGCGGAGTTTAGTCAATAAATACAATTTCGGCTAAGCTGACCATGCTTGATCATTGATTGTCTGAGTGGTTTCTGCCCTCTGGGCAACTCGTTCCAGGAGGTTCTTTGGTTTAGCCAAACTATGGCTGTGTTCGCCACAATTTCAAGGTTATAATTAAAGTTCCTTTTGCACCTAACTGACTGCGTGTGCCTCCTTCACTCTCCTATCTTATTTGGAGCTGGAATATCAGGCTTACAGATTGTAGAAGGCTGGTTCTCAGAAGTTGGGTGGGTCTTCATTCGTGCATGGAGGAGGAACTCATAAGAGGGTAATAACGTGATTCTGTTGAGTAGAATCATAAAGGTGTGCCATTCTCTCTCATCTTGATTAGATGATTAATTAGATTAATAATAATAATAATATATCTTTATATATATATGCTGGAACAGAATAGGGAATAGGCAACGCAAAGGTAGAACTCAGCTAAAGTAAACAGCTAAACTGCTCGGTAAGGTATAAATCCGATGTTTTATTAGATAGAAATTAAAAACACATGAATAGCAGAATGTACTATTCAAGAGCAGTGGCACAAGCGAGCAAAAAATAGTCTTGATGAATTAAAAATTAAGTAAAGTAATTAATAAAATCATCACGTGTCTAAATTAACACCTGGTTGTACAAACATTCTATCTGAATGCACGGAAATCTAGGTACTTAAAAAATAAATAATGCTAGATATACAGGGCGTCCCAAGAAAATGCAACCGCATTGAAACTAATCGTAAACGTGGCGTTAAATTAGAATTTTTTATTTCAAATGCTTTAAAATATTTCACAAGTATAGTTAAATTATTTTTCAGTGGCAATTCACAAACGGGAGGATATTCAACAAAACCTCCTCGTCTAATCCAGTTGTTTAGCAAAACTTCATCCAGGAAAGATCTTACATCGCGATGGTAATGTGGGGGTGCCTCATCTTGGTGAAAATAGAACTCTTCGTCTGTTCAAGTAAATGGGACTGGTTACAGTAGGATCAAAAAAAAATAAGAACGGTCCAATTAATCCCCTTGATGATAAGCCCCACCACACTGTACTTTCAGGTAAATTGACATGACGGCCGACAGTAACGTATGGACGGGTTACGAAACAGCCATCTACCGGACAAGAAAACATACTACTTTGTCAGGTGTTTGCATTCCGATGATGGCATGTATGCCAGTGTCTCCTCACCTCATCTGGGTTTGCGAAAATACAGTTGACATTATAAATTCTGCAACCAATTGACATTCACATTGAGCCTCCTAAACTTATTCAGAGTGCTTTCACCCAACCTGAATGGGAAATTAAGCGAATTACTGAAAGGTAAGTAATAGCTTACGGACAAATGACTTTTGTTCTACTAAGAACCCTCTGACTTCTTCCCATCTTCACCTATTGTTGTTATTTCATACGACAACAACTACTACAGAGGATCAAGCCACACTTTAGGAGATTTTCAGCACAAATCATAACTCAATTATAACCAAACACGAATCAGCTGAGAGAAACAAGCAACAGTTAATGTTACAATCACATACATATATTCATACTTTGAGAAAAAAAGAAAACACACATGACGATTTGAATAAAATGGTAAACACCGACAAAAATGCACACAAGACTGCTTCCCCTAGTCTGCATCGCTGCCACTCTCACTGTCCACCTTAACGACCTTCTTCGGAGGACGTCCACGACGTCTGGGCGTGGTCGAAGATGGAGCAGGTGTAGAGGTTGCGGGAACAGGGGAACTACGACGTCTAAGGCCAGTGGTACTTCGTCTAGGCCGCTTTGACATGGGTGGAGACGGTGATCTTTCTTCGGGTGGGGGAGCACAAGTAGGACATTCCCAATTGCCCTCTGGAATACTCCGAAGACCCACACATTGGGCGTGATAACCACGGTCGCAACGATCACAAAACATCATCTGATCCTCTTCCCCCGTATCTTCGCACTCCACGCATTGTTTGCACTCCATGCATGACCAAGCATATCTACAGTAAAAAATATTGTTACTGATAATAACTAAGTAGAATTGCGTCAGACGTGCAAGGAATTTACGATGATGACTTTACATCAAGCCTCCATAATGCGGTAATTCCTTTTTCCGGAGTCAATATGAATTGGTGAGCGTTTTGTATGTACACACGGTTCCACTATTATTCATCCAAATGAAGCGCTAACAAAGATATTGAAGACAAACTTATAAAATATTTTGCGTAAAAAGGGCTAGAAAGCTAAGCCTATTTGAAAAGATAGAACTACGGAGGGCATGAGAAAAGTGTACCAGGATGTGAAGAGATTTATTAGTACTAAAATAATATTGGCTTCATTACAAGATCCTACTTGAAGAAACTGCAGGTACAAAGTACCCGAAATACAAACAATATTAGCACAAAAGCTTCAGCAAAATAGCGGGAAGTAGTTTTAACAACTATCCCTGACTGCAACAATTAAACAAAACAATGTTGCCGAGCTCTAAATCACCATAAATATCTTAGCTAATATCCGGATAATTAAAAGAAACAATGCACTGTAGTTAATAAAACTATCTATAGGCTATGCAGAAAATGAAGCGAATCGGAAACTAACAGAACGAACACTGAAACTTGGATTTCAAACCAACCAACACCTTCTGGGGTATATATTTTGTTTTTCAACTTGATCGTGAGCTTTCTGAAGATTAAAGTAATGACATTTTATTTGCCTTGACAAATAAGTAGAACTTACGTCCTAACAGTGTCGATCATGTGCTCAGGGAGATCCAGACAACGAGCATGACCTTGTCTTGTGCATTGGGAGCAACGAAGGGGGTCAGCTGCAGGTTTCCCACACACAGTGCAGGGAGGACCCTTTTCTTCCGCTTGATCGGCTTTAGTTGGAGTACCAACGACCTCCTCATCACGTTTTGAGCCACCGACCTTCGACGCCGAATTCTCTGGGGTAGCTGGGGCTGCAAACTCCTGTTTTGAGCTAAATTTGTGCAATCAGAAAGGCATGCCTTTTAAAGGGTGATAAGTTCGACCATCTTTAAGTAATAGGGAAGCAATACTACCATTTCAAACCAACTGTGTCTGGGTATGCAGGTAACTTCCCTGGTAAGAAACTATTTCAACTACAAGGAGATGAAACTTAAAAATAGATCTAGAATTAATCTCAACAAAGTAAGATCAAAGATTAAAAAAGATTACGATTGGTATTGGAGAAAAAGCAACCTGAAACAAAAAGAACAAAACTTCAGTGTGGTTCACGCACCATTGTAAGGTAGATGAAAACAAGTTGTTGTTGTTGTCCAAAACACACTGAAGCGTGTAAGGGAAGCAAGAAAAATTGAATTTAATGCTAAAATTCGGATAAATTCTTTGCCCTGAAGAGTTGGACGAAGCATTGAAATCCTATCATACGAAAACGACATTGACACAATTGACTGGATCGACAAATTAGGATACAAAGCAGATATTTGGATACAGAGAGGATAAAATTTAGATTTTAAATCAACTAAAGATACAAAGCCTCGACAAATATTGAAAATCCAGAGACATTGAAGAATAGGTCTGTGTCAAATTTTCAAATCTGGGAAGTGAGCCTTCTAAATAATCTCAATAAAACAAATCAGGAAAATAATCTTCGAAGTACAAACAGAATTATGTGAAGAAACTATATCCATAAAAGTGCTTATAAACACAGAAAAAAGCCTGGCGATTCTAGAATTAAGATAAACTTCAAGATCTTCCTGATTTTAAAAGGATTTCTCTACATTTACTAACATAAACTCTGGCTGTTCTTAACCTTTCAACAAAAAAGGGTGTATGCATGATAAAGCGCAATTTTTCGTTAACTAAGATCGGTACACATTATCAAATCGTTATATATCTAAATACGATTGATATTAAGGCACTCACCTATTGGCAGCTTGATTAACCACCTGATTGGGGATAATTGGATTAGAAGGATCATTTAAGGTTTGTGGTCTGGGGGCACCAGAGACATTTCCATAACGAAGATTTACAGGAAGCGGCGGTGGAAGTCGAAAAGGTCGTTTGCATTGTAGATGGGGTGGCTGTGTATGGAGTGCTTTGGATACGGGCAGATAGTTTAATTCGATGGGTGAATAGTCAACATAGTGCTCAGTGAATTGTCCTGGAATTACAGCAATAGGGTATGATCCATTTTTAATTGCTGGGGGGTCCAAAAGTCGATAGGGCCACTGCGGAACATGGATTTGCATAGTCTGCAGATCCCAATAGCATCTGCGTTCTTTATGACGCTCGGAAATCAACTGCTTATTGAAATCTGAAGCAGATTCCAGTGCACGTTTTCGAGCTAACTCTGCTCGAGCTTCACCTCTACCGACCCTAGCCGCCTCATATTGACGTTTTTGGTGGTCAGCGAGACGCTGAAACCGCCTTTGGCGAAAGAGGTCACTGACTACCACGTGAACGTCAGGAAAATCATTCTGAAGAAGCGTCATTACTTCATCACTGACCAGGGCCGTCAGACCTAACTCCGCTCTACCTGGAGGAACTAGCCCAGCTTCTTGAAGCCAATTCCGCTCATAGGCATCACAGATTCGACGCTGCAAATCGGGATAACGGCGTTTGAAGGACTTGACCTAAATAAGTTATATAAATGCTCAAAATCCAACAAACCTTAAGATAATCAGCTAGTATTTCTTGAATAACATAGTAAGTTGGGCCGTTTTTCGAATTTACCAAAGACTCTTCAGGCCACGCGTATTCAAAAAGTTGTTCAAGTTTGATTTCTTCAGAGACATCAGCGAAAGCACTAACACGGGAAAGCATAGTTTCAGCCTTAATACGTGAATCGCGACGATGACTTGACAAACTTTGTGACCCAAGGGAGGTCCCCTATTAAAAATTATCAAAGAAAAGTGACATTAAACGTACGGGTAGAGAGAATTCCGAGTCAATATCATTTTTTCGACTGAACGGAGTCAGTGGAAGTCCGTCAAGACTATCGTCCAAGCTGAACACAGTTTCCTCATCAAGAAGGTCCTTAGGAGGCGCATGACTTCCTTCCAATACGGGTTTAGTCATTATATTTTTATTAATTCGCAAAGATCAAATGGGACTAAGCAACAAAGGCAGTTTCCTATTGGCTATTGCAGACATTTAGATTTAGCGCTTTTCAATGTCATATTTAAAATTAGTTCGGAAGGTAATATACAAATCTACCTTTATATCACAAAATAAACAATATTTACAATTTTATAATTTTTAATATTAATACATTTAACATGATTAGTTTTCTTTTTCCCACTTCTTTGTTTTATCAACTTGTAATTTAAATAGAGCAAAGAAAATTAACCACTCGCATTCTTCTTACAGTTGCCTCACGTCATTTCTTTACAGTCCTTCTCAGTTAGCATATTCATCTCAAACTGCCACTAATTCGATTTCGAACTGTTTTGCCAACTCTATCTTATGGTACATCGAGTCGAAATAGGCTGGTGCCATAAGTTACGAATTTAAGTATTTAAAAAGTGTCAAAATGTGTTTCTAAAGAGCAATGAGCTTTCATAGAAAAAATATTAAACCTTCCATTATTACTAGGAGAATAAGCATGTTTCTTAAATTATATATCTAATTTTGTACGTTTTGAAATATTGTTGTTCTACAGTTTATTTTAATCCACCAAACTTACAAGATGGTAATGCAATGCGAATAATATTAGGTATTCTTCCTTGACAAAAGAAATACTTTTAATTATGCCTTTTATCACATTATCATTGAGAAAAATTATTAAGCGTAAATTGGTCTTCTGTGAATTGATAGAATTTTCATGATACCGTCCATAGTACGATTTGAACACTAAATCATTACTGTAATTCCCAAATCCGCTTGCTGTATTACTGAGACCGAAATTGGAGCCAAATGCTAAAAAACTAAATCTAGTGTTTTAGTGTTCAACAAGCAGACATTTAATTAAAGCGTGAATTCTCTGAATGTGCAAAGGGCGGGAAAGAGTTAGAGAGATAGCAGAACAGGACATACTTCTTGATCTATGTATGGGTCGCGATAGGCTTATTGTAATACCAATGGCCATTGTTTTCGGTACTTAGCTTTGATTGAAATGTTGGGACACGCCGGATTGGACGTATGGACAGGGTGGCAATTTGGTTTGTGTGCCATCGGGAAATGCAATTTGCTGATTGGAGGATCTATCATAAATTGGAAATACGTGGTATTCGAGAGATTTATTTCAGGCGCAAGTATTTCGATGGACAAGAATGGATTTCGAAGGGGAGAGAGTAATAGGAATTTCCGCTTTTTTGTGATTTAAGGACCACTAGAGCCACCCTTTTTTCAGCCGACTTACGCTTGGAAGGAGACAGGGATTGCCCATTTCAGTGCTTTGGTAACCTAATCGAGTGCTGCTTATTCTCTACGCCGATGCACGACACTATATTGACCTCATGGTTTTGGGGTGGGGCATCTAGTTTTCTGATTAATTGACGTAGTGGAAAAGCAATGTATTTACAGAAATTGGAAGCACTACGACATGATGCAAGCCTTTAGTAAGATTGACTACTTACTCCAGTTCTTCAGAAATTGCTCGAGATAACAGATAACTTCAAGTTCATTAAATTTGGAATAGACTAAAGTTGATCTTCTCCAATGAGTCGTATTTTAGTTGTGGGGAAGAACTACCCTAGTTTTCATGCGGGTTTTCCTGGAATTGATTCCACTTCAACTTGAACAATGTACAGTCACTCACGCAAACAAATTTGGTGATAAACGTTGGGGTAAATGACGGGAGAACAATTGTTTTGCCAAGAGAAAATATTTAAAAATAATTCATGATTGCAATATCAAAAAAAATTTGTAGCAGCTTCAGTATGTTTTGTTCTATTCGTAAGTTTATCGAAGATTCTCCATTGCTTATATGATGATCAGCAGATCGGATGTTCATGACCACTACTTACACATTTTCTGCCATTCCTCGCTCACCTTTTCATAGAACACGTCACTTTCGAATCTCTCATTTTGGGGCGTTGTCTTCGGCTGCCTCAAACAGAGAACTGCTTCTCATTGAGAGATCGCTATTTTCTGCATTCCAGACAAACCTCATATTTGATATGGTTTCTGTTTTATGCACCATTGGTACTTGAGTTACTTCATTCACCTTTCTGTTAATTAGTGTCGTATATCCGCAGATTTTAATTCCTCTCCAAACCCCTCATCTTAGACTAGACTGTTTGTCCTATCACCTGAGTAACTATTAGTTTAGGTTTATCGATGGCGTTCACTTATCTTGAACTCAGTTTTCATTTTGTGCATTGTCTCCGAATACTAATGTTTGCCAAACATGACAGCTGCTTGGAAAAAATCACTCAAAGTTTCAAAAAGAAATTAATTTAGTTCCACACACTCTCCATGTCCAATTTTCTGCATCCATTAGTAATGTCCTCCAAAGTGATTTCAATACCTACTTTAAGCATTTCGAGCATTCGACAAAAAAAACCGGTTAGGCAGCAATGACGAAATGCTCGAAGATCACTTAATAATTGCGACACAGGAAAGGCGCAGTTCACAAACTATTGATGCCATTTGTGAAGATTATTCAGTCGAAATCAAACCAGTTTGGAAGAGAAGTGGGAAATTTGGAAGACTGCTCATCAAATTATTCAGAGAGCGAGTGAGTCGAGACAGTATCACGGAAAATAACATTAGAAGTAGTCCTGGATTCAATGAGGTCTTTGAGCCTTCCATGCTCAGCATCTAATTAGCTTCTAACAACAAAATTTTAAATTCCAATTACCTGGGGTGTGGGATAGACTTACCTCCTCGTGGTGCACCCTGGGCAACGTATAATACCACGGCAAAAAAGTCAATTAACCTTCAGTTGACTTCTCACTTCAAACAACCATCACCCCCACTCAATGTCATATTCGACCCCTACACAGTACTCATCTTACCCTTTCTGTCCCTTTTACATCTGTGAATCACTGTTGTATTCCCCCTCCCGAATTCTTCTCACTTTGATGTTTCTCCTCATCTCTGTGAAGCTTGAAGTCAACTAAAAAGCTAATGATAACAATCAAAACGCCTGCCATTTGTTATAAATAATTTCAAATTACCTGAAACCTGAACGAGATCGTTTTGAAAAATTATAGGAAATTATACTTATGTGAAATATTTATGGGTACAAAATCTTTACTTGTGTTAAGGAGATGACTCAAAGCCTAACTTGACCGGAGGTATAAACCATCTCTACTGATCCGATTAATTCTCCTCAAGATTAATTGATTTTGACCACAGAACTGCGCGTTTTACTGCCATTTATCCTGAATATTCTAGAGCTAGCAACAACGACTCATGCCTTACGAAATCAGCATAAAAGCGTCATTTTTTGTTTAAATTTTGTGCATGATAGTTTGCAATTTACTTTCCGTAATCATTTAAATCTCTTTCACAGTAGTTTTGGGAAATTTTGGCTCTTTTGAAGAAGAATACTCGTTCAAGTAGTTCACAACTCCAGTTGCTCCAGGAACTGACACAAGTGATGATTGGATGTGACAAGGTATGGCAAAAATGGGGGGTGGGGTGGGGGGGGGTGGCGGATGAGGAAAACCTTCTAATTTAATTCCTGAATATTTTGAGTTGCGATTTAGCTCTATAGAATTGGACAGTATCATGCTGAATGATGTCACTTTTCTGCAAAATCAACTTGATTTAGTTGTTTAAACAATATTCAACTGCAACTGATTCTTCCGCTTAGAGCTATTTGTGACGAATTATCATACGTACATCCAACTAAATTGTCTGCACAGTTGAATATAATCACGTGAGTCCCCGGGATACTTCCAACATAGTTAACAGGTTGCTCTGATTCAACTATGACTTCCAATACGCCGTCATCAAATTTTGAGAGTCGTTCTGATTTCCGGTTCACCATATATATATCCCTATTGTTCCAATTAAATTTGTTAGTCCAAAATTGGCATGGCCAAGATGGAAGCAATTAACCATAAAATACAGTGTTGGCTATAGCAGCCTCTCGGATATTCAAGACCGGCTGGATGGAAAACACTATACAACATCTGTCTGACGTGTTCATCGCCTGCCTCGACGTTGGTCATATTAACCACAGCAATAAAATAATGGCTACTGAGCCAAGTTAAAGTTGAACAACTTGTTCACTGAGAAGGAACCTACAGAGGCATTTCTTCATCACCTTGGGACACAAACTGAACGCGGGCATCTCATTTCATCATGACCGACCTTAAGGCCAGCTCTAATAGGCCAGTTTTGTGGAAATTGCAGAATTCAGGTTGGTATGTCGCAGACAAATTTATTTCAACTTAGCTGCACAAAACGCCAGTTTCTCTGCGACTTCGGGATTGATTTCATAAGCCAGATTGAGCAGACACTGCCTCAACGAAGGCTCTCCACAATGCGCGGATTTATTCACCACTGGTGTTGGTGGTATCCTGGAGGTCGTTGTCCGGAGTGTGGATTTCTCAGTTGAGTTAGGTGGATATCTGGGAGTTACTCTCAGACTCGGAGTGGGGAGAATCTCCGACTGACACATGCGATCTGGAATTGTTGTCTGCTTGGATGCTTGCTTGGACATGGAGGATTTACTTTGGAGCTTATTTTCTTTAGGGAGGTATTGATTTCCTAGGGTGTGTCAAGTCTTTTCAATTCCTTCAAAATCCAGCTGTCTGAGTGAGGATAGTCCCGTTTCTTTGCTAGCATGACTCTGGTCTAATCCATTTATACAGGCAGTGCAAGTACTATAACGCTGTCACGATTACGATTTCCACATCACTTTGCTGTATTCTTGTGCCTTGACGCATGATATTACTGCAGTCACGCTTTAACTACAAACGTCATTTCTTCACCAAGATATTCGTGCCAACTCCAAAGTGGTATGCTTGAGAGTGCTGACCTCCAAGAGGGTGAATTGCTAGAGTTACTGAATTAAATGTTTGGAACAACTAGAAGATATAGTTATGATGGTATGATGGCATATGATTGGCTGGTGGTGAGCGATAGACTTATCTCCACGTGGTGCCTCCTGGGCAACGCATGCTCACACGGCAAAAAAGTCTATTAACTGGGAGTTGACTTCTGACTTCAAATTACCATGACCCCACGGTATGTCATATTCGACCCCTTCCACAGTACTCAACTGGCCTTTCTCTGCCTTTGTGTCTGTCTGTTTGTCTCTTACATCTCTTTCCTCCTCCTCTCTGTGAAGCCCAAAGTCAGCTAAAGGGTTAAATCATTATTCTGTCCACCCTCTCGACTTTTTGTCACTTTGATGTGAATCGCTCTTCTTTTCCCCTGTCGAATTTTTCTTACTTTAATGTTTCTCTCTTCTGTGAAACTCGAAGTCAGCTAAAGAGCTAATGATAGCTATCAAAATGCCTGCCATTTGAAAAAAATGATTGGCTGGTGAAACTCAGAGCCACTGTGAATCATAAAGATATCGCAGTGTATAACTTAAACCCACCATCAATATGCCTGTGGTGACTCTAATGATTGCCTTGACCCTTTACAAATCTTAGACAGCATATCATTTCTCCAGCATTCTCAGCGGGATACAGACTGTCTTTGAAATGCTTTATTAGCCCCAAGGTCAAGTGACTATACAACCAGTTTAATCTTCTCGAAACTTCGAGTTCCCACCTACTAGAATCAACTTCTATCATCTAACTCCTCTGGTCGTCCCTTTCAGCCAATGCCGCCTACATTTCAATCATGACGTCATTTCGTCTCTCATGTCTATCTCCAAAGTCTCATTAAAATACCATCATAACTATATCTTCTAGTTGTTCCAAACATTTAATTCAGTAACTCTAGCAATTCACCCTCTTGGAGGTCAGCACTCTCAAGCATACCACTTTGGAGTTGGCACGAATATCTTGGTGAAGAAATGACGTTTGTAGTTAAAGCGTGACTGCAGTAATATCATGCGTCAAGGCACAAGAATACAGCAAAGTGATGTGGAAATCGTAATCGTGACAGCGTTATAGTACTTGCACTGCCTGTATAAATGGATTAGACCAGAGTCATGCTAGCAAAGAAACGGGACTATCCTCACTCAGACAGCTGGATTTTGAAGGAATTGAAAAGACTTGACACACCCTAGGAAATCAATACCTCCCTAAAGAAAATAAGCTCCAAAGTAAATCCTCCATGTCCAAGCAAGCATNTTTTTCAAATGGCAGGCATTTTGATAGCTATCATTAGCTCTTTAGCTGACTTCGAGTTTCACAGAAGAGAGAAACATTAAAGTAAGAAAAATTCGACAGGGGAAAAGAAGAGCGATTCAGAGATGTAAGAGACAAACAGACAGACACAAAGGCAGAGAAAGGCCAGTTGAGTACTGTGGAAGGGGTCGAATATGACATACCGTGGGGTCATGGTAATTTGAAGTCAGAAGTCAACTCCCAGTTAATAGACTTTTTTGCCGTGTGAGCATGCGTTGCCCAGGAGGCACCACGTGGAGATAAGTCTATCGCTCACCACCAGCCAATCATATGCCATCATACCATCATAACTATATCTTCTAGTTGTTCCAAACATTTAATTCAGTAACTCTAGCAATTCACCCTCTTGGAGGTCAGCACTCTCAAGCATACCACTTTGGAGTTGGCACGAATATCTTGGTGAAGAAATGACGTTTGTAGTTAAAGCGTGACTGCAGTAATATCATGCGTCAAGGCACAAGAATACAGCAAAGTGATGTGGAAATCGTAATCGTGACAGCGTTATAGTACTTGCACTGCCTGTATAAATGGATTAGACCAGAGTCATGCTAGCAAAGAAACGGGACTATCCTCACTCAGACAGCTGGATTTTGAAGGAATTGAAAAGACTTGACACACCCTAGGAAATCAATACCTCCCTAAAGAAAATAAGCTCCAAAGTAAATCCTCCATGTCCAAGCAAGCATCCAAGCAGACAACAATTCCAGATCGCATGTGTCAGTCGGAGATTCTCCCCACTCCGAGTCTGAGAGTAACTCCCAGATATCCACCTAACTCAACTGAGAAATCCACACTCCGGACAACGACCTCCAGGATACCACCAACACCAGTGGTGAATAAATCCGCGCATTGTGGAGAGCCTTCGTTGAGGCAGTGTCTGCTCAATCTGGCTTATGAAATCAATCCCGAAGTCGCAGAGAAACTGGCGTTTTGTGCAGCTAAGTTGAAATAAATTTGTCTGCGACATACCAACCTGAATTCTGCAATTTCCACAAAACTGGCCTATTAGAGCTGGCCTTAAGGTCGGTCATGATGAAATGAGATGCCCGCGTTCAGTTTGTGTCCCAAGGTGATGAAGAAATGCCTCTGTAGGTTCCTTCTCAGTGAACAAGTTGTTCAACTTTAACTTGGCTCAGTAGCCATTATTTTATTGCTGTGGTTAATATGACCAACGTCGAGGCAGGCGATGAACACGTCAGACAGATGTTGTATAGTGTTTTCCATCCAGCCGGTCTTGAATATCCGAGAGGCTGCTATAGCCAACACTGTATTTTATGGTTAATTGCTTCCATCTTGGCCATGCCAATTTTGGACTAACAAATTTAATTGAAGAATTCAAAATTATAATTTATACATCAATCATAGATTATTCGGCCCTTAGTATTCACTTTGGTGAGGAATAGACACTTGGCAAACTTTCAACTTCAAAAGACTTCACGTCTATCAGATTGGTAGTGGGGGGGGGGGGGGGGTGGGGATCCCACAAGAGGAACGGACCTAACTTTAGCATCCACCATCTAGGACGTTTTTGCTCTCTACATTTAGTCAATTTGTGTTAAAATTCGTTTCAAAATTACGTTTTAAAGTTCTCTCTTAGAAGGCCTTTTCGGGATTGGGTTCGTATATGCAAGGATGTAATCACAATAAGCACGTTAATTTCTAGACCCGACTTCTTTTGGGCTAATACACTTGGCAACATAAACTCACATCTTATTTGCTTTAGGGTAACACAATCTTGCCGACATAAGACGACCAATCACTCCTTTTAATCAATAAACTTTGAAGACTCTAGGCAGGAGCATTTTTTGATATTTTAACAACGGAACATCAAGATGTAATTGGGAGTTTATAATCGGTTCCATATCAAATGAACTTGATGAATTAAAAAGTAAATTGAAATCATTCCCTAGTTCTATTCGACCGCATAACCTTTGAAATCTACTGGAAATTTTATATTTCTTGCCTTCAGATTACATTAAGTTATCGCGAAAAAATTAAATCGTAAATAAAAAGAGTGATAAAATAAAATTAATATTAGAGTTTAGCAAGTGATATTAATTTTCCAAAAATAGATAGATCTTCTAAATATATAATGTTATGAATTCCACTTTACTAATAGAAAAATTATATTATGCTTAAAAGTCATTACAGCAACAATGACAAGGCTCATCTCTCTATACCCACTGACTTAACCTATCAGAATAGTATTGTAAAGGCGACAAATGATTGGCTGTCGGGTTGGCCAATAGTGAAGACAATAGGTTCATCTCTGGCTCTGGGGAGGGGGGGGGGGGGGGGGAGCAGAAATCCAATAATAGGTGATCGATTTTTGAGAGATTCTCTCGAGTTTCCTAAAAATATTCTATCAGACCTCGTAATAATAAGTTATTAATTTATCGAGATGAGTTTGACTAGCCTCCCAAACTAACTTTGGTAGGGGATTTCATCTAATAATGAAACTTAGTATCTAATAATTGAAAAGATCTAATTAATCAGCTTGACACCAAATTAAGGATGTTATCTTTTTCTTCAAAATTCCGATAAGGCAATAGATCCAAAACTTAATTTGAGCTATTAAGGATTGCGTCAATGTGATTACATGTTACATGTTTGCTTTCTGATTCATAGGAGTGGATTATGTGAGGTATTATAAAATAGAAAACCACCTCTAAAGTCACACTCTAACACAAAGGCAAATTAGTGAGGGAAAGTGAACACAAGATAAATGAAATCCGCTAAATGTGATGATATCACGCGAACAAAAAAACGCTTCGAAGAATGTAGTTAGGCCATTTGCAGTATAAACATATTTTTATTGTTCAATTGTTTAGAAAGTCAGTTTCTGATACAAAACGGCTTACATATTGACGATCTCTTATCCGCACAGTTCGGCATGGTAACCGGAAATAGCTGATAGCTTTCCCAAGTTTCTTCAAGAAGGAAAGGAACAGCAATCAGAAGAGTTAGCATTAAAATCGAACGGTCAGCCTTATTCTTATACAAGAAATCGCTTTCATATTTCTGTATTTTGTGCAAGAAATCGATCCGAATTTATGCCTCAATTATCAAAACGAACAGAGAACATAAAGAGAATAGAATAAATCACTTCATTGAAATCTGATGTGCCTACCAGTTTCTCGCTTTTTTCTGAAACTAACACAAGTCTATCTGATTATTCTGGCCATAACGATGCGAATTTATTTATTTATTTATTTATTTTAAATGGCAGGCGTTTTGATAGTTATCATTAGCCCTGGAGCTGACTTCGGGGCTTCACAGAGAGGAGGAGGAGGAACATTAAAGTGACAAAAAGTCTAGATGGGAGACGGAATAATGATTCACAGAGGTAAAAGAG